CCTTGCTACGTAAACGGTTCCATAGGCCACTAGAAACAAGGAGACGGTATGACTACGATGTACGAATCCGGAGACTTAAATGAAAGAAGTATTTATACGACTTCAAATGTTTCTTTAGGTAGATGTAACGTGCCGATTGAACTGGATAGATCTCTTGAGCGTGAGGTTGTCACAGGACCAAAATATTAATGTCGTTTCTCAAACAAATTCTTTTAATAACGTAATGTTGCTATATGACCATCCTGCGAGACGCTTTCCATTTTTTCAAATTTCAGTTTGACACGCTGGTGGTGGTAAATTTTGTTTCTGAAAGGAACCACGTAATTTAAGAATAATGGTGGTTACCAATGAGCGAAATGTCAAAGGGAAACAGCTGACCATGGGGCACTCCACGAAGGGAAGGATGGTCAAAAAGCATCCTGATTATCAGAAAAAGGAACTGGTTAAAGATGGATATTAATTTCTATGCTGTGTTTGCATGAAGCAACGTCATCCTCCGGAAATGATGCGAATTATATGAGAGCGGTAACCGTCGTCGTACGATTCTCTAAGAAGCACTTGAATACACTAAAATTTCGTCTTACTCTTCGCAAACTTTCATCTGCAAATAACAGCAATAACCTACAAAGGTGGACTACTTAGCACTAAAAAGAATCATGAGCTGCTGACCAAAGCGTCCAAGTCCAAGTTGCTTATCATCTTTAACATAGCTCAATCATAATAATTAGCCGATTTATATAAGCATGTTTGCCAATTAACACAAATCAGATACCTCGCTTTGATGCAATTCGTGAAACGCATTCCGCTGACCATCTTCTTATACTTCGGTGGAACTCGTGGCAGTTTCACGGCTTTGTTAGGCCATATCTTACATTCGTCCATGTGTTGTGGATAATCAGAAAGATCCGCGAAGCACGCCAACTCTTGGGTGTACCCATTCAAGTCTTGCGGATGGCACAGCTCTTCTGCCACGAAGATTTTATTATAGTAAGTTCCCTTGTTCCTAAACAAACAAAAATTGTTGAATAGACGCTGCAAATTCTTTTCGTTGATTTAGAACGGTTTTCATTTGATTTTCATGGTCAAATTCAGTCTTATTCCGATTTCAGTTTACCGCAAACGTCTCAGCTGTCTGTAAAATCCTGCGTCATACGTGAACTTTAGAATGAAATTAAAGGGTTTAAGCGAATTGTTATAAAATAGTCGTTTTCCATCATATTTCAGTGCAACTCTGAACAGAAATCGACCCAGAAGCAATGTACCAAAAAACTGTCATTCTGATAAAAGCCCTAATCTACATAACAGTGCAAACGTAGCGCACCAGAACATCCGTTATCAACCAGTGAAGGCGCATCAACTTAAATGGATCATTTGGAAAGGGCAAGGGAGGTAAGGAAAGTATATATCCGCTGAAATGTCGGTCACCCTTTAGCTTTCATGATGAGGTCATATCTTCTTTTCACAAAGCCAATGGTGGGGGCCTGAACTCCATTAACAAGTACTGTCTCATTTTGAGGGCAGACTCGACAGTGGCCATTTGAAAATTAATGTGCGTAGTCCCCTGTTCTCTTCCCATAGAGTGATACCCATTTATCAATTTCGAAATGGAAATGGCGAGTGATCAGATCGGGACTCGATCGCGGTATTTTCCGTTTCTGAGTCTGCCACTTAATCAGCTGAGCAACTCCGGTCTGAAGCAAGCTTTCGAAAGTACATTAGTATGGTGTTGCAAGAACACTAGGGAACAACAGTGGAGAAACGATGCGTCCAACCATTAAATGAGCAGATACGGGACAGCCATTGTCTAGATATATTTACTGTTATGCATAATTTTCTGAACTTGTGGAAAACCCGCATCTCATTCTTTACATTGGTAGTTGCCATCTGTCTATCCAACCCTCGATCGTTGGCACGTGTATCTACCACTGATTCGCACACCGTTACAGTGTTCACAATTTCTGTATGCAAATCAGTCCCTCTGTGCCTGAGGTTAATATCAACTCATCGCTGGGGAAAACGTAATAGAATAATACTATTGCTAGAATGCCAACGTTTCAGAAATCGCCGATTCGTTTTCAGGCAACATGCATGGCGGGGACTTCGATTTTTGGCGATAAATCTAATCTGGGTTGACAATCTCCGATTACGTATTTGTTCGAAACATCGTTGCCACAACATCTGCATATCCTTCAATAATATATAAGTGTTCCATTATCAGTAGGTACAGCGTCGAATTTGAACCGACTTATCAGTGATAAGATAACAAAGCAAATCAGAACCGCTTGAGCTAACCGGAGCCAAAAGTAAAAAAACTATTATTAGAACTAATTATTACTAGCTGGTACAATAAATCTTGGCATGAGGTAAAAACCGAGAAAAAATATTCGATTAATATTTTTGATGAAAATCATTAGAATAAAAATTTCTTCATACACGTTTTTAAGAAAGGAACATGCGCCTTGCCACTGTGAATTAATCAGATCGTGATGAATCTCCTTTACAATTGGCAAGAACGAAAATCAATGGGGAATGCTGAATGAACTAAGTTTTCAGAATGAGTGAATCACACAATCAGCAAAAAATACCGTAAATACTCCATGGATACGGTAAAATATGAATGGTCCATTACTCGAGAGACGTTATAAATGTGCAGAACTAGAAGGTCTAACACAGCAAACGAATGAATGATGATCGACCGAGAGAATATTCGAACATGGCCTACTGCGGCTTGTCAAATTCTAAAATTGTCATCTACCTCTCAGATACCAATTTTGTCTGAGAAGAAAATGCGTATCTGTTAAAGGGCCCCAAAATCAGCAGATAAATGCCGAAGCTTCGAAGGTCCCCTGCTAATCGCTTTTACAGTACCCAAAAAAATCGTGTTTGAAAAGTTTTGCATCATTTCCTATTTTTTTAATTTAGTGTGATTCTGAAATAGGCATTTAGACTAATTATTGTTGGCCAATACATACAAAATTCTGTTTCTTTGCCGTTCCTTGCACCCTTAACAAATTATACCTCAAAAGCTGTGAAAGTTCCAGACTGCATTTGTCTTTTGCCGAAGCTCAGACTCTGGCACAGGATCGGGAACGTTGGAAGCACT